TTGAAGTATGGTATTTATTTATGATTTTTGTTTCTCACCGTACATGCATTCTTCTTTCCATTTGGAATTTAGTTGTCTAAATGCTTAAACAACATCTTCATTTGAGAGTTTTTCATTGCTAGATTCGCAATCGTTTTGATCATTTGGTTTGTAACCCATGTGTGCACTGAGTGTAATTATGTTGTTGGGTTTTTCTTTATAATTATCATTTTCTTACTTTTCATCTGAAAGTGTGGCAGTATATCCCTTCTTTTGCTTCCGAATGAAATTGGTACAACCACTTGAATGTGTCCAAAGCCTTCACACCCATGATATTGTATTCCCTTACCTTTGTTTAGTTTGTCTCCTTCTTTGCTTTTGCATTGGGAATTGAAATCTCTTGTGTTGTCAGGAACTTTGTCTTTGACATTTATCGTGACATTGTTCCTTGATCTATTGTCAAATTTTCTCATAATATTGCCATACATTTTTGCAATTAATACAATATAGTTAGACAAGTTATCATTATTATCCCCCTTCTTCTTTTATCATCTTCCACATCAACTTTAAAACCATCACGCTTGTTTTTCTTTACAGGTTTGTCATTGATCGCCATTTCAAAGGTTAGCCATGAACCAATAAGTTTATCGACTTTGTTGGAACTAATTTCCTAAGCTTCTTCTATAGCTATAACTTTCATATTAAACCTCTTTGGAAAAGAGATTTGAGAATCTTTCCAGCCAGCTTTTCTTTAGATATTTTTTCTCTAAAGAAAACGAGCAGTTGGCTATGTCACGAAGTCGGACATAGAAATCAACAATGGTTTTGTCTTCTTTCATTCTCAAGTTCTCAAATTTGATGGTGAAAAGTTAGAGTCTTGACATACGAACTTTTAAGTTACCTTCATGAGCAATTTTGAGTATCTCTCACACTTATTTGACAATAGTGCATGTGTTGATGAGACAAATAACATTTACGTCCACTCCATTGAATATGGCGTTGAGAGCATGATAATTTCCATGAGATTCTTCATCTTCATCTTTGGACCACTCTACTTCTGACTCCAGAGACTGAGTACCATCTTGTACAGTAACCATTGGGGGTGTCCATCCTTTGATGACTACCTTCTAATTTTTGTCCTCCATGTATTCAAGGAAGGAAACCATGCGAGCTTTCCAATAATTATAGTTCGTGACATCTAAGATAGGTGGTTGATTTGTAGATCCTCCTTCTTTAGTGTTATCCATTTTGAACATAATAGGGTGTCTGCTCTGATGCCAATTAAAATTTTATTCTCCTTATGAAAAGATGTCAAGCACAATGTATCAACAATGTATATGACAAGATTAATGCAATAACAATTAAAATGCAAATAACATAAAAAAGACACAAGGAACTGGTAACCTAGTTCAGTGCAATATCACCTATGCCGGGAGGGCGTTAACCCAAGAAAGGAAATTCACTCTTAATAGTAAAAGTACAAATTGGTCTTAGTTAAACCCTTCTAATTCAATGTCTTTTTTCTTAATACTACCCGTGAATTTCTATTTAGGACCTCCCCTAAATATGAGACGTCTCTCGCTTTCTCTCAAACACTTTCTCAATTGTTTGGACAAATACAATATAGTACGAATGATGAAACCACTACAACTCAAAACAAACTTTACCCCTTTACAAATGAATGGCACTAGCGAATAGAGTTTCATAACTTAACAAAGAAAACACAAAGAGTCAAAATACTAAATACGCCTTTCTTGATGTTTCAAGGTCTAAGTCTTCTACATGGAGAGCTCATCTTTAAATAGAAAATAATTCAGTTGCATGGCGCGTTAGGGTTTTGAACAATGCTTGTGGCTGAAGTAAATCCAAATAGCGCAACTCAATAATCTGATTTAATTGATTTGCAATCTTTCATAAATTAAATCTCCATCAATCTGATTTGATCTTGATAATTGATCTTTTGAAAAATCTTTCCCTATTCCAAAATGCCCATAAAACAATCAAACAATAAAGAAAACAAATCAGACGCAAGATTCTCTTTTGTGTTGGCTGGCTTGAGACGGGATGTTTTTCAATATGTGGAACATCCTTCTCCACATCTTTACCTCTTGTTTTGAATTCATAGAGACAGGATGTCTCAACATAATATCATAACATCTTGCATTATATGTTGCCTATAAAATTATGACATTCAAGTATAACAACATTTATATTAACTTATATTCCTACAACATATATCATGGTTATTTTATTTTTATTACTTAATATAATTAAATATATTACAAAAACTAGATTATCAAACGAATTTTCTTATTTCCAATTTTTGAAAACAAATTTTAAAAATACTTTCTTAAAACTGATTTGTAAAACAAATTTTTAAAACTAAAAATACAAAAAGTGATTCAAACAATCCCGTTCTCTAAAATATTCTCTTTCTTGTTGCGACCATAAATTCTTTAGTATTGAAAGACAATCTCAATGACCTCCTTACTTTGGCGAAATATGACGAACTTTCAGCAAAAACGAAATTAGAACTGTTTCATCTTTTAGAGTTTTTTGTTGGTGCACAAGGAAGATAAAAGACAAAAGGAATATTTACTGATAGCTTTAGAATAAATATTTACAATTAATTACAATAACCTACTCCACTAGGCTATTTATACACAAAATTAAATCTAAAATACATCTTCTACAAAGATCTAAGAAGATCTAAGATATATATCTTCTAACAAAGATATAAACAATCTAAAAGATATTCCTAAATATAAATTAATATCTAAATAAATCTAAATTAATTCTAACATCATCCCTTAATTTATATTTACCCAAAACTGACAACACCAATTCCTTCCCTTAAACCAAGAAATTGATCAGTTTTGATAGTCTTTGTCAGAACATCTGTCAGTTGCTTCTGAGTGCTACAGTGCACAACCTCTAATATTCCATTCTGAACTTGATTCCTCAGAAAATGATACTTGGTCTCAATATGCTTGCTTATCCCATGCAACACTGGATTCTTGGCAAGATTGATTGCAGACTTGTTATCAATCATCATCTTCAGAGGTTTATTTACCTCAATCTTCAGATCTTTTACAAGTTCAGAATCCACACAGCTTGACATGCAGTCAGAGCACCTGCAATATATTCAGCTTCACAAGTTGACAAAGCAACAACAGGTTGCTTCTTGGAACACCAAGAAATAGGACCTCCCGGAAATTTGAATAAGTACCTAGAAGTACTTCTTCTGTCAACTCTATCTCCGCACCAATCAGAATCAGGATAACTCAGAAGTTCTGATTCAATCTTTCTTCCAGACGGAAATAACACTCCATATTTCAGAGTTCCCTTCACATACCTCAGAATCCTGACTGCAGCTTGGTAATGGGACCACTTTGGTTTGCTCATAAATTTGCTAACCATTCCAACTGCATAGAAAATATCAGGTCTGATATTACACAAATACCTTAGAGAACCAACCATCAGTTTGAAGGTTGTAGCATTCACATTCTCTCCATCAGAATCAGAGTCCAACTTCTGATTCGTATCAGCAGGTGTGATAGCAACCTTGAAATTTTCTAGCTTAAATATCTTCAGAAGCTCTAGTTCATACTTCATCTGATGTAAAATGATTCCTTTCTCAGAGTACATAAATTTCATCCCTAGAAAGAAACTCATTTTTCCAAGATCTGTCATCTCAAATGCATTCATCAGAACTTTCTTGAATTCAACTTTCTCTTGTTCAGAACTTCCTTAAGTAGTATGTCATCAACGTACAAACATACCTGAATCATATTATCTTCTGAAGTGTGCTGAACATAAACACCATACTCCATCTCACACTTCTGAAACCCTTGTTCCTTGAAAAACAAATCAATCTTCAAATTCCAAGCCCTGGGCGCTTCCTTCAATCCATACAATGCTTTGTGTAATTTGAACACCATCCCTTCCTGATTCTTTTTCTCAAATCCAAGAGGTTGTGAAACGTACACCTCTTCTTGTAATGGACCATTCAGAAATGCAGATTTTACATCTAAATGCATCAGAGGCCAATTCTTGTTAGCAGCTATTGCAATCACTAGTCTGATTGTTTCATGTCTCGCAACAGGTGTAAACACTTCAAAGTAATCCAGCTGAGGCTTCTGTAGAAAGCCTCTTGCTACTAATCTCGCTTTGTGTTTACCAATTGATCCATCTGTCTTTAGCTTTTACTTGAAAACCCATCTAACACTGATGGCTTTCTTGCCTTTTGGAAGTTCCGTCAGCTTCCAAGTTTTGTTTCTCTCTATAGCATCAAGTTCTTCTTTCATGGCCTGTAACCAACCTTGCTGCTTAAGAGCCTCTTCCGTACTCACGGGTTCAGAGTCTACTAACATTGCACACTGAATAACTTCTCCTTTAGAGTCTACTTCAGTGTCCTGCAACATGTCAAACTCTGCAAATCTTCTGACTATTTGTTGCCTCTGAACTGGACCTTCAGAATCTTGGACACCAGAACTTCTCCCTTCAGAAGATCTTGCTTTAGAGTTTTGACTTTCTCCAGAATCTTGACTGTCTTCAGAGTCTTGAAAATTCCCAGGGTCTGAATCATCATCAGAGTCAGAGCCACTACCTTCAGAAATACCATCTTCAAAAGTTGGATCACTTATGTCAAAGGCTGAATTTCCTTTAGAAGTTACTCCTTCAGAAGTTCAACTTTCAGAATCATGATTTCTACCAGAAACATGGTCATCTTTAGAAACTTGTCCTCCAGAACCTACGTCTTTAGAGTTTTCCCTTCTAGAAGCATGATCACCACCAAATTCCGGATCATCATCAAAATCTGGATTAGAATCAGATTCACCATCTGACTCACCTTCAGAGTTTCCAGAGTCATCATCTTCTGACTCTTCTTCAGAAGAAGAATCTTCTTCAGACTCAGAATCACCTTCGAATTCTGACTTGTCTTCAGCTTCAGAGTCATCTTTTGACTCTAACTCGTCTTCAGAAATCTCAGATTCTGACTCATCTTCAAAATCTTCAGCGTCATCTTCTGATTCTGACTCGTAGTCATATTCTAATTCCGACTCATACAAAATCACTCCTTCAGAATCAAAATATTCAGAGTCATATTCTTCTTCCCCTTCAGAATAATAAAATGACAATTTCACTGGTTCCTCATCAGATTCATAAGCCATAAATAACACAGGTTCATCATCTGAATCTCCTCTGGCTACATTTGCTTCTTCTGACTTCCTTTCTTTGTTGGACCAGCAATCTCTGGCATATTGATCAAAGTTCTTGCAACAGTAACACTGAACATTCTTCTTGTCAGACTTCTCCTTTCCCTTCTGGACATTCTTCTGCCTATCAGAATTTGAAGCTTCTGACTTTTGACCATCATTAATTTTCTTTCTGGCTTCTAACCAAGTCAGATTCTGATGCTTCTTACCAGAAGTTACCTTCAGAGCCTGCTGCTCTACTTCCCTCTCAGAAGTTCTTGCAGTCATACGCAACTCACGCGCCTCTAGACTACTTTGCAACTCTTCAACTCTCATGGTGCTCAGATATTTGAAATGTTCAATTGCTACAACAATGTAATCAAATTGAGAAGTTAAAGATCTCAAGATCTTCTCAATAATTACTTGTTCAGACATAGTTTCTCCACAAGCTTTCATCTCATTAGTGATCAGAGTCACTCTAGAGATGTATTCAGAAACCTTCTCGTTGTCTTTCATGTTGATATTCTCATATTGCTTTCTGAGATACTGAAGCTTCACCTTCTTCACTGATGCGTCACCACCGTAACATCTGACCAGTGTGTCCCACGCAACCTTTGCTGTTTCGGAATCAGTAATCTTCTCAAACACATTCACATCCACACATTGATGGATGTAGAACAACGCTTTCTGATCTTTCTTCCTCAGCGCCTTCTGTGCTATCTTCTGGTCCTCTGTTGCATCTGCTTCTAACAGATTATAGCCATCAGTAACAAGTTCTAACACATCTTGAGAACCAAATAACACGCGCATCTGGATCTTTCAACGATTCTAGTTTTTGCTATTAAATACTGGAAGCTTGGAATGAATATCGCCGCCGTTTCCGTTCATCTTCTACCTTGTGCAATTTACGCAGAAACTCAATGAAAACAATGTTTCCCAAATCTCAGAGTTTCTAACCAGGAGCTCTAGATACCAATTGTTGGTGCACAAGGAAGATAAAAGACAAAAGAAATATTTAATGATAGCTTCAGAATAAGGATTTACAATTAATTACAATAACCTACTCCACTAGGCTATTTATACACAAAATTAAATCTAAAATATATGTTCTACAAAGATCTAAGAAGATCTAAGATATATATATATATATATATATATATATATATATATATATATATATATATATATATATATATATATATATATATATATATATATATATATATATATATATATATTCTAACAAAGATATAAACAATCTAAAAGATATTTCTAAATATAAATTAATATCTAATTAAATCTAAATTAATTCTAACATTTTTCTCAGTGGAAATTGGAATACTACGATGCATAAGTTAAACAAGATTCTGCAAATGGAAATAATAGAACCGCTATATTGGTATATTAACACGGTAAGTATTATCAGCAACAGATCGAAATGGAGTATAATTAGAATGATTGGAATTCATAGAGGAATTCCAGTACCTACCTCTTGTCGGGAATTCATAGAGGAATGCATAACAAAAAGTGGACAGCCAAAGAATATTGCAACAAAAATCAACATCCAGTTGATGGTTAACAGTTGAACTGCAAAGCAACTTAAGAAATAAGAGAACATACCAATCTCAACCCCAAACTTAATCAGTTTGTGCAAGCTTAATGACACCAAAGCAAATGCAGCGTTTGAAACTGTACTCAATGTTTCAGGTTTCCCATTCACAGCTTTGTCGTAGAAGAATGAGTACACTGAGATGATCATCAAAACCGCAAAGCTCATGTAAGTTTTGAGATGAAAATGTCTTGTGGAAAGTGATGAATGCTTTGCAAACAATATGCTTGTCAAAATAGCTAAGGACAGGAGCCCATAAAGAAAGAACTTGAAAGGTTTCCACCTTCCAATTAATCGATCGAAAGAAGGGCTTAGAGCATAACATGACAGGCCAACTACACTTGACATAAGGCCAACTAGTCTCCAAGCCGTCTCGGTTTGAAAATCTCCATGTGAAATTTGCAATACAACTCTAGCAATTTTGTCTAAAGCCTGTGAAACATCAGGATCACCAGTTAGATCGGGTGACATGAAGCCCATGTTCGGTAGCTTGCATATAACAAGTTTCTTTGAATCAAAATCAGATGGTAACTCCTCCGAAGGATATCTCCACCATTCCAATACTTTTAAACTGTTTGGAAGATACTTGGGAGCTTTGGAGAAATGACATTTTCTAATAATAAGTATTCTGAGGTTTGGCATCTCCTCAAAGGCCTCTCCATCCCATTCTATTGCTTCTTCATTTTCAATTAAGGTGGAATCTAGATGTATGATTTCTGTATTACTAGTTCCCTACAGTACACATATATTATGAGAAGATTTAGTTATTATAAAAAGTAAAAAAACAATTGTAACATGAGTATATATAAGAGTGAATAGAGATCAATAAAGGTTAGACATAAAACATGAACCACCTTTGACAGTCTTACCTTATTATTTTTTAGGACTTGAACTATATCTTCTTGGAACCATAGTCTACTACGTCTCCCAGGATCGCTTGGCGATTCATCATGGACAATTTCTTTACCTGTTCTCTCTATCAAGGGATGTGGTGTCACCTTACCATCCAAACTGATATGTATGAGAAACTTGTCAATCAACGCTCCGATATGATATTTCACATCTTCACCATAACGAGCATGGAGAATATCTTCAACATCTGTCAATTCATATCCTTTGAAGCAACAAGTAATGTCAAGGAAAACGTTCTTCTCCTCTTGATCCAAATCATTGAAGATTATTCTAAGAATATTTTGGATGTTGTTGGGAGGATTTCTCTCCAACCGATTTAATGTATGTTGCCATTGGTCAACACTTTTTCCAAACAAGTTGGAACCGATTACTTCCAAGGCCAATGGAATCCCGGAAGCATAAGTTACTACTCGGCTTAAAAGTTCTGTGTAATTTGGATCAACAGTGCCTTGCTTAAAAACCCTGTGGCTAAGCAACTCAAGAGCGTCTACGTGATTCAACTCTTGTACCTCGTATATTATATCAAACCCGTGAAATGCTAGCAAATGTTTGTCCCGTGTTGTAACGATAACTCTGCTACCAGGACCAAACCAATCAAGTCCTCCAACTAAGATCTCTAGTTGCTCAAGTGTGTCAACATCATCTAGGATGAGAAGAACTTTTTTCCGGCGGAGCCTATACTTTATTACTGAAACTCCATTACTAGCATTTTCTGACTGAATATCTTTCAATCCAACCATTTCCGAAAGAAGCCTATTCTGGAGGTGAATTAGTCCATGCAAATTTGAATTTTCACTAACATTGGCAAGAAAACATAAAGCTTCAAATTGGTCTCCAATCTTATTATAAACAGCTCGAGCAAGTACTGTTTTACCTATTCCACCAACCCCATAGATCCCCACTGTAAGGACTTGTTTTGATCCCAACTCTAAAAGTGAACACACTTCTTCCAATTGAGACTCCAATCCGACCGTGTAATTCGCAATATGTACAGGAACAAGATCAAACTTACTGGAGACTTCTTCCACAATCCTCTCAATAAACTCAAATTCATATCCATCCCTGCTAAATCAAAGATATTAGGTCACTAAATGCAAATTGCAATTATAAGCATGCATTCAAACTTATACTTATTCACATACATTTAAAGGTTAAAACAAACATTGCTTATCTCTTCAAATATAAACAATAATTCAGAGCAAAGTTATGAGGCTCAAATTCTAAGCCAACCAATGCAACCCTCCTTAGACTCGGCTTCTAAACTTGCAATAACCTATATATGACATTTATTTTAGTATTGAAATTGCAAACATATCTTGTTATTTTATTTGTATTTTTATGGACTCAACTAACCAGAACCACATTCTGAGAACTTAATTGACTCGCCAAAAATACATTTCATTACCAAAATGACTAACAAATAACTTATTTAGGTTTCATTTTAATACAGTACTGTCGATGTCCTATATTTTTAATATTATCGTATGTGTATGTGTCGTGTCTGCTGTCCGTATTGGAATTTGTGTTTCATAGCTCATTACCATTGAAACAATATTGGTGAGAAAAGTTACGTACCCATGATTGTAATGAAATCCTGACAAGTTAGCTACTTGATATAAAGCGTTCCTCCATTTCTTAACTTTGTCTTTCTTATCTTTGAATTTCTTCTCATGCTTTGAAAAAGCTTCGGCATAAGTTCCTCTTTGATATCTCACAACAGCAGGATCCACATCGTAAAAAACAGGGAAAATAAAGCGATGATTCAAGACAAAACTGTCAAGGATATAGACAAGTAGTTGCAAGGAAAAGGATGAAAAAGCATAGTTGTTAGAAAACACAATAATGGCAATTCTTGAGTCGTTGATGACATTCAAAAGTGTTGAATCGATTTCGTTTCCTTTGGAAAGGTCCTCTTCATGGTCATCGATGAATGTGTTGATTCCTCTGTTGCTGAGAGATTTCCAGAGATTGCCGGCAAAACCGTAACGAGTATGGTCGCCGGAGAAGGTTATGAAAACGTCGTAGGTGAAGGAAGATCGTTGATTTGCCATGATGCGTCATCCTCGTGTATAGTGGATTCATTCTTTTTATGATTGAGTTGAGACGCTCGGGTAAGTCAAGTCAAGCTAAGTGAAAACGCGGTGAAGTGTTTCAGTCAAGAAATTAAAAAATAATATTTTTTTTTTGAATTTGAATTCATATATTATTTTAAATATTATTATTTTTATTTTCTTTGATCTGATTATTTCTGTGTTCATACAACACTGGTGTGTTACCCGTATATTTACACTGGTTTTAATTTGATTATTTGTGGACCTATACAATATTAGTGTGTTACCGGTATATTCACACTTATTTTTATCTAGTTATTCATACATCACATGATATTAATATATTACTTCTATCTTCCCGTTCAAAGTTACATATCTATCCACTCCGTTTCAAACCCTATACATCTCATCTTCCACCAAGCTCAAAGTATTTGAAGTATGTTGGATTTTTCAAGTTGCATTGTGTATATGTATCAGATTATATTGGTCGATTTTCTATCATTGCGTTTTATGATTTTCTCTACCTTTCAATCTACAGCTTCAAATTTCCTCTACCTCTTTCAATACCGGTACACTTCCTTCCAGCGAATCCGCTATTGCTCTAATAGTAGACTTCACCCTCTCCATTCATGAAACTCAATCAACTTCAACTTCTCCACCGTCAGTACTCCGCCATTGTTGAAGAAGGGAAAACTAAAGTTATAACTTTTGATTATTTTGTTGTGTTTTTTGTTCTTTAATTCAGGAACTGAAGCTGTTAAAAATTCATAGATTGTTACCGGTACAAATCTCTTTTATGTTTAATTCAAACTTGTAATTTTACTCCAAACCTTAGCTGTTCGTTTTAATCAATGGTTGTTTTCAATTTCAGTATGAACATCAAATTAATTAGTGTAAAATAGCCTATTAACTGTTTGATGAAATGTCTGTTGGTGAAGGGGTTTCAAATTGCCAGAAATGAAAAAAGGAGTGCCAGAATTAAACAAGCATGTCTCAACGAATCTGAAGAAAAGCTATTTGTAAGCATTTAGATTTTTTTCTATTCCACTCAGTCATTTGTGTTTAATGCATTAATACCTCAGTTTTATAACATTGATTTGTTTCATTTTCTAGGACTATCACTTTAACATCACCTATATAAAGAGTAATGTAAGGCAAGCAAATGTAGTTGATGCATATACTGCTTTGTCACGAACTGTTTGCATTGCGACTAGATATAATGATGTTCGAAGACGGTTTGAATCTCAAAATTGTGGTCTTGAAACACAGGTAGTGTTTAAAACATATGGATCCAAGTATGTTGCTTATTAGAGAATTCATGGTTATTAGAATTTTTTCCTAATGGAAATTTTTTTCAATAAGTAAATAAGTGGAAAACCAAAAGAAAGTTGGACAGAAAATCATAAATTACAATTAAAATATATGCCAATTCATTTTAGTTTGGTTGTGTAAATTTAAATTCCAAAAAAAAAGTATAGAAGATTTCATGCAATATGCACATTAGTCAGTTGGTTTTTAGAAATTTGATCAATGACAGACACTGACGAAGCTGCGGGTTTCACAAGATTCTTTCACTGATGATGAGAAGAAGAATTTTAAAGTAATTATTATTTGTTTCCCTTGGAACTATTTTGTAGTTTGTATTTGTTTGAGATTTTAGCACTTAGAATTGTATAAAGATTTGACACTGTTTTATTATTACAGGAGCTGTTGAAAAGAGATGTTTTCACTCCTCCACGAAAAACTGCTAGATGAGGTCATTAAGTTAAATGGCAAAGTTTATGACATTTCATTTATAAACTCGACATGGTCAGAAGAATCTATTGAAAGGATCATGACTTTTAATATCTCGGTCATTATTATTACATCTTCATTATTGTTAAGGTTATTTATATGTTGAGTTGTGGGGTACACGACTAAAATTTTAATGAATCTTAAAAGGTAATAAAAAAAGATAGTAAACTTTTTTAGAAGTTTTGATCAACTCTCATTCTTTGTAGTTATAGTTTTGTCATATGTGTTTAAATCTTTGCGACAAAGCATTTTATACATTCATTTAAGTTCACAAAATATGGAAAATATTAGTGGTCATTCTACCAATGTAGACTTTGAAGATAAGTTAAGAATAAAATCTAATTACATGCCTTTGTGATATGTATATGTCACTTTGCTTCAAAGAGAAGCATTTTAAATGTTTCAATCCCTTATAGAGTGATTAAAGTAAACTAAATTTTTGGCCGATATGTCCATAGAATATAATTCCAACGAATTTCATTTTAAATGTCTCCAGCTTAGTATGTCTTGATGTAAGATTTTAATGTAAACAATTATGAACATATATTGCTATACATTATTGTTACAGTAAAGTCATGACCCTTCCAACTTGGTGAATGGTGAAAAGTTTATGACATTTCATTTATACTCTGTAGTCATCTTCATATGATTAAGTTGTTTGGTTGTTTCTTTGGTGACTTTCTTTATATTCTTTGTGCAGTGGTATATGCTTTGTTCCTGTTTCCAAAACCTACTAATACAACATAAGTGCATTCATTGAGTACAGCTTGCTGGAAGAAATTCTCCACTCTCTTCCATCACATTGCTTACATGTCATGTGATGCGGAGATTCAAACGGTGCAGCGATAGGGTGGCGGCATCATTTGCTGTTAAGAACTGGTTCTGCTGACTCTGGATTGTCCCAACCCGGCATCTATTTGTCGGGAACGTCGCTGATGATGTTGCAGCTCAACTCCTCCGATTGGGTATTATTGAAAGAGGAGAAAACAAAGAGTTAACTGAATTGATTTGTATTGTATTCAAAACAGTGACTTTTACAATATGCTAATTACATTAAATAGCAACCACTAACTCCTAACTATGTAACTAACCCACGTAATTAACTCTAACAATAATTCTAATTTCTAACTAACTGCTAACAATTAGCTAACAGAATTGTTATTCTGTGATACCCCCCCACAAGCTGGAGCATGTATATTAATCATGCCAAGCTTGGATACAAAATCTGGAAACTTAGAAGGAGGGAGTGGCTTAGTGAATATATCAGCCAACTGATGATGAGTAGAAACAGGTAACAAATGCAATAACCCAGCTTGAAGCTTGTCGCGCACAACATGGCAGTCTAATTCGATATGCTTGGTGCGCTCATGATATGTATGATTCTGTGCAATATAGATGGCAGATTGATTGTCACAGAATAAAGGAATCGGAAGAGGTAGCTCAAGATGTAAAAACTGGAACAAATATTGGTACCATTGAAGCTCACAAGCTGTTGCTGCAAGAGCTCTGTATTCGGCTTCTGAAGAAGAACGCGATACAGTAGATTGCTTCTTAGTTTTCCAGGAGATCAAGGAAGAACCTAAGAAGATAGAGTAGCCAGTTACAGACCGCCTCGTGTCTGGGCAGCTAGCCCAGTCGGAATCACTATAAGCTTGCAACTTCAAAGAAGACCTGGCAGAATAGAACAATCCCTGTCCTGGAGCAGCCTTGATGTAACGAAGAACACGTGTAGCTGCAGTCATGTGAACCTCTGTCGGGGCTGCTAAAAATTGGCTTAATTGCTGAACTGCAAAGCCTATGTCAGGACGCGTAGTGGTGAGGTATAATAACCTGCCAACCAATCGTCTATAACTGCTAACATCAGGAAGAGGCTTGCCTTCTGTTAATGAGAGATGAGCATTAGAATCCATAGGAGTTTTCACACTCTTACAAGCAAGAAGGCCAACATCAGTCAAAAGCTCCAATGCATATTTGCGTTGAGAAAGAGTGATTCCAAGAGAAGATCTTGCCACTTCTAAGCCAAGGAAAAACTTTAAATCACCAAGATCCTTGATACTGAATTTGGCATGGAGAAAACTCTTGACAGCTTGGATTTCTTCCATAGAGTTCCCAGCCAGAACAACATCATCAACATATAAAAGTAAGCAAGTAATAGAATCACCCTGTTGCTTAAGAAGCAAAGTATGATCATGAGAGCATTGATGAAATCCAATAGATTGCAGAGCAGCTACCAATGTTTGATACCATTGTCGACTGGCCTGTTTGAGGCCATAAAGAGACTTCTGAAGCTTGCAAACTGGATTAGGAACATCAGATTGAACCCCAGGAGGAAGCTTCATATAAATGTCCTCATCAAGGGAGCCATGGAGGAAGGCGTTATCAACATCAAGTTGATGAAGAAACCATCCTTGGGAAGCAGCAATGGCCAATAAAAGCCTAAGGGTATTCATCTTTGCAACTGGAGAGAAGGTCTCCAAATAATCCAGGCCTTCAACTTGGGTATATCCCTTAGCCACCAAGCGAGCTTTATAACGCTCAACAGAACCATCTTGTTTGTGTTTGATGCGAAAAACCCACTTGCAACCTATGGGCTTTTTGGATGAAGGAAGAGGCACAATCTGCCATGTGTGATTCCTGTTGAGAGCATCCAACTCCTTGATCATTGCCTCTTGCCACTGAGGATCCTTGCAAGCCTGAGAATAAGTCTTTGGTTCCACTAAATTGGATACATTAGCAACAAAGGCAAAATGTGTAGGAGACAATTTGTCATAAGACACAACAGAGGAGATAGGATGCCTTATACCTGATGAATGATCCTTTGAGGAAGATTGGGCTGCCAGGCTAGGAGGCATTGTGACTTGAAAATCCTGCAAGTATGATGGCAATCTCCTTGTACGAAGAGACTGCCTTGGAAGAGGATTTGTAGGCACAGGATCAACAGGTGGGAGAAACAAAGGAGCAGAATCAGGTAAAGTGTAATCAATGGCTTCAATATCATGAGAAGTAGGCAAAGGAATTGTGACATCAGGTGGTGTATGATCAAGGTTATGGGATAAGGCCTGAAAAGGAAATTGCTGCTCATAGAATATGACATTTCTTGAAAGTAAGACTTCTCTTGATTTCAAATCAAATAACAAAAAACCTTTAGTGCCATGTTTGTAACCAAGAAACACACATTTTCGAGCTCTAGGATCCAATTTTGTGCGAGCCCGAAGCAAGGTAGAAGCAAAACCAAGACACCCAAAGACTTTAAGAAAACCAAAGTCAGGAGGTTTAGAATAAAGCTTCTCAAAAGGAGTTTTATTGCCCAAAACAGAAGATGGAAGTCTATTGATAAGAAATGTGGCATGGGATACAGCATGTGACCAAAAAACTTTAGGCAAATGAGACTGGAATAACAAGGAACGAGTGACATTTAAAAGGTGTTGATGCTTCCTCTCAACAACAGAATTTTGTTGAGGGGTTTCTACACACACTCGTTGATGAATGATGCCATTAGAAGCATAAAATTGGGTAAGAAAAAACTCAGGACCATTATCAGATCTAATGACTCTAATGGAAACATCAAATTGAGTTTTAATCATAGCACAAAACTGTGGAATAAGATGCTGAACTTCAGACTTTTGTTTCATCAAAAACAACCATGTAAATCTGGTGTAATCATCAACAATAGTAAGAAAAAATCTATGACCATGCATAGAAGCAACAGCAGAGGGACCCCAAATATCAATGTGAATCAAATCAAAGGCTTTATTAGATGTACTATTACTGTGAGAAAAGGACAATTTCCTTTGTTTGGCCAAATGGCAAACCTCACATACATGGTTTCTTGTACAATTGATAAAGGGAAAAGTATTACCTAAGATGGAAATACAATCAAAAGAAGGGTGGCCAAGCCTATGATGCCACAAACTAGAAGGGGAATTCAAGGAAGAACAAGTAGCTGAAACTGCAGGTACAGGTCTAACTGGCTTCAAACAGGATGCATTCATTGTGGGTGTAACCAGGTAATACAAACCATCAACCTCTTTAGCTGCACCAATCATCCTCAAGGCATTCATATCCTGTATTAAGCACAATTTAGGAACAATAGTGAGCTTACAATTCAAAGTTTCAACAAGCTTTGTAACAGAGATAAGGTTGAAGCTAAATTGAGGCAAATATAATACATCTACCAAGTAAAAGGACTTAGTAAATGAAATGGTGCCAGAAAAATGAGCTACCAAGAAACTGCCATTGGGCAATTTAACCTTCACTGGCTTAATCCTCTTGTATGTAACAAAGAGTTCTAAGCTACCACAAATATGGTCAGTTGCACCTGTGTCAATAATCCATTGAATTAATCGAATTATACCATTGCGAGTTTGCATAGCCACGGAATTGGTTTGTGCAATGGTTGAAGTCCTTGAACTTGGAGCAAAATTGACCTTTGCTGTCCTTGCAGTATCCTTATCCTGAGAAGGCAACAAAGCAAGTAGAGTATTGTACTGATCTTCAGTCAAGCTGAACCGAGAGCTATCCTCATGTACAGAATTGGAATCATCTTCCTCTGCCTCTGTGGCGTTGGACATGTTAGCATGTCGAGAAGCGCCTTGAGAATTCCTGGACTTGTAACTCTGTGGATACCCATGCCTTTTGTAACACACATCCACAGTATGCCCAATTTTGCCACAATGTGAGCATTCCTTCCTGGATTGATTTCTGTAGCCATTGGAACCTTGAGAACCTTTATTAGAATTGGTTCCATTGCCATAGCTGCGATTAGATGAATTGCTATCACCTCTGTTATTCTTTTGTGAATCAGGAACACCTTGAGCAGTAGCAGCATTAGCCATAAGAACCTTAGGCACATTCTCAACACTGAATTGCCTCTCTTGCTGTGCTGCGAGTTGAAACACGCGATTGATGCTTGGCAAAGGCTCCATGAGCATGATTTGCGACCTCACACCGGAGAATTGTTCCCCTAAACCACGCAGAAATCGAATGACATGATCCGAATTTCTTTCTGCCTTGATTTTGACAAGTGCATCACAGACACAAGATGGCAATGGTTTCAAAACCTCTAATTCATCAATCAAAATCTTCATAGCTGTAAAGTACTTGGTTACCGTCATGTCTCCTTGCTTGAGACTGTAAATTTCTTCTTGTAATTCAGAAATGCGGAAGAGATCTGCCTGTGAGAACCTCTCCTTCAACTCCTTCCAAACGTCGATTGCTTTTTCTCGCCACAGGATCGATTGCGCAATCTCCGGATTCATTGAACGAATCATCCATCCAAGAACCATTGTGTTGCAGCGTTGCCAAAACGGATAGATCTCATGATCTTCTCCAGGATCACGAAGCGTTCCATCAACGAATCCGAGTTTGTTCTTTGTTAACAAACTCATTCGCATCGATCTTGACCAGCTGTGGTAATTCTTCTCAGAAAGTGGCGGAGAAACAAGAATCGTCGCCGGATTCTCGTTCGGATGCACATACAACGGACAAGAAGTGACTTGCACATCTTGCAAGGAATACAGATACGGCGGAGCCACCGGCGGAACGTTCGCAGCCATCGGAACTCCGGTGAACCACCGTGGAGATTATCAGAGTTTGCAGCAGAGCTCTCTCTAAGAGAGCTCTGATACCATATTGAAAGAGGAGAAAACAAAGAGTTAACTGAATTGATTTGTATTGTATTCAAAACAGTGACTTTTACAATATGCTAATTACATTAAATAGCAACCACTAACTCCTAACTATGTAACTAACCTGCGTAATTAACTCTAACAATAATTCTAATTTCTAACTAACTGCTAACAATTAGCTAACAGAATTGTTATTCTGTGATAGGTATGGTTATATGTTTGTCCTAATTTATTAGATTATTCATTAATGAAATAGTTAAAGTGAATATATGTGTTAGAGGATTAATTATAATATAATGTAATTTGTTGATTGGCATAACTTTGAGCTTGAACATATATGGTATGCTTTAAAAAAACACTTCTGCAACTTTGGCTGCTGCTACTACTGTCTTCCAGTTATTACTTTCTTCTTGGCGCTCCTATTCATGGACAGTTAATATTTTTCAGGCATATATTTCACTTTTATATCTCATTAAATTTTGGAAAAATTGATGAGAAAGTCCTCTACATCAGAAATAAAAAAATCGCTACAAGAGCAGGATAAAATAGGTGAAAGACCTTTCCTATTGTTTGAGGCTGATCGAAAATGATATACAATGTAACACTGTTTTTTTGAAAGTGAGTTAAATGTCTGTTGTATTGATTTTAGATTATGAAGTTCCGGCGATATAAGGTGAAGGTGATGGGAATCAAAACGGCTATGCTCACTGAAGATAGCCAATCAGCTGCAAAAAATAAACAGGAGCAGGTTTGTGATGTCATATTCTTAAACTCAGAATAAATTATTGATTTATTATAAGAAAATTACTTATTTTACGAGATAGTCACTTGAAGAAACACAAGAAATTGGTCTATTAATAATTGATTATATATTTTGATATGTTTTTGTGTGTCTATTAATAAAAACAGGCTGAAGATTCATCATTATAAATATAACATATGCAAAAATCTCAATTTACTCAAAATGCTCAACTTAAATTTTGTTCTTTGAAAGACATATAATTTTTGACATAAAGTATATAATTTTTGTTCTTTGAAAGACATGTTACACGGGTTATTGATGCCAAAAATGATATGATGTTTTGAAGAAACCGTAAGAGCAACATATGCAAAAAGTTCAACTTACTCAAAAATTATTGAAATGAATTTTGAATTGCAGAGGTCATTCAAATTTGTTTTATGATACAGAATTTAGTTACATTATTTTTAGTGAGTAATGAGCTGTGCAGAATTTTCTAATTTTCCACATGTTAACCAATGAGGAGATTGTGGAGTCATTTTCTAATTTATTTAAATATTCATTAAATAAACTTTTGTCATATAAATTACTTATGCAATCAAATGTCAAATATAAAATTAGTGTAAATTTCATAAATTTTGTATAAAATATTTCTACAAATAATCCACATTCAATCGAAAATTAGTTTAGAAACAAATGTATCACAATTGTTTTTATATATACTCTTCTAAATATTTATTAAGTGTATCATTCATGAGATAAATGTGAATAATCTTTCAGGCACTCAAATTTTTATAATATTTTTGCATTGATCCTTTGTTAATTTTTAATCACATGTGTAATCTCAGCATATGGAAACGACAATCATGTGTAAAAACTATATATTATTTATTTTATTTAGAATTTGAATGAAAGTTGTTTGATAGGTTAAATAATAGGGTTAGTTATATGCCCCCCTTGTCATTTGGGCGAGATTTGGTTTCGTCCTTCTGAAATAATTTTTTTTATGATCCGCCCCTTATAAATCAAATAAACTATTTTCACCACATCCTTTTACTTGGTTTGCTGACTGTGTGTATGATAATTTGCTACGTGACAATTGCAATGGGGTGACTGTGTATTCTTAGTTGAAATTAAAATGAAAATTGAAATCACAATAGAAACCTTTCGTTATCACCCCGTGAATAGTTAGGGTTTAGAATTGTGAACTTGTGATGGGAGAAGACCAAGTGAACGGAGAAGAAGAAGCAATGGTTGTGAACAGCGAATCTCCGAGCGAATCGTCTCAGATAGGTTCCAAATATGGTTTCTGCAGCTTGATTACAACATGCATTGTAGTTTTTTCCTGATATTCATTATATTAGGGAGACTGGTGAGGAAGGTGTTAGAAGAAGGTTACCTGGTGTGTCCTATAGGTGCACTAAGTGTGACAAGTTTGAACATAATATAAAGTCATGCAAGAGCAAGAAACAAGATTCAAATGCCTTGAAAAGAAAGGTATGTGACTAGTATATTTTATATTTTGTGTATTTTGTGTATTTTGTGTATGATTGTAGATTGGTATGTAACTAGTATCTTTTTGCAGAAGAGGGTGAGATCAAGTGTTGATTCAAATGTTGTAGATGTTCAGACGAAAACACGTCAAGGTACTGAAGCTGCTGCAGTGAATGCTCAAAGTGTAGTTGTTGCAGTGAATGATGCATCTGATGCAGTGAATGTTCAAAGTGAAGCTTCATTGTTTGGGGATATAACTGATGATATGATTTCAAGCCTACCCGATATAAATCCAAGTATACAAACAACAACAAGTAAAGGCTCAACAAGTATAGACAAGACTAAAGTCAAACAAGAATTCAAACCATTGAGAAAGATGTCAAGTGAGAGAATTAAGGAAAATTGGTTTAAAAAATCAAAATCATTCACAGGTCCTGGTTCTAACCTAGAGCAACCTATGTACTTGACTGAAGAAGAAAGAAATGCATCACAAACATCAAAGAAGGCTACAAAGAGTGTTACTAAAAAATCAACAAAGGGTACACCTAAGAAGGCTACAAAGAGTTCCCCTAAGAAGGTTCCAAGGAGTTCCCCTAAGAAGCATCCAAAGAAGAAATCAATTTATGATCTATAATGTTGCTTCTTATATGCACAAGTTTGGTGTTCTCTTTTTGTAATGTTTTCTGATATGACAACTAAGTAATGTTTCTTATATGACAGCTATTATATAATGTCTTAAGTTTGGTGCTCCTTTTGTACTGTTTGACTTATGCACAAGTTTGACACTATTATATAATGTCTTAAGTTTGGTTCTTTTGTAATGTTTTAACAAGTGAATGCACTTTTCAGAAAGAGGTGAATGCACTTTTTATGCTGAAACATAATATCAAGATGTTCCAAAAATACTCGAGATGTTTGACAAAAACATAATTCTTTCCTTTAATATCAAGATTATCCAAAATACATTATACCGATAACCAGAAAAATATAACTATTGAACCAACTAAAAATTACATAAAATTATACAATAGACCAATAATCAAACAACACATAACAAATGCTATCTTGAGCTGCATATTAATCATTCTCTGAGCTTCAAGCTTCATCTTCAATTTCTCCAATTTCTTTGTTACTGTTTCCAATTTCATTTCTAGTACCTCACACTTCTTACAAAATGGTTGAGTAGCACTATTTCTTTTGATGGAGTCTCCAATTTCATCATCCCATAGAAATAATTCACAACTATTCCCAATCTACAAAAATCAAAACTTCTGTTAACATTAATAAAAATCAAAATTTGCTATCAATTTTTGCCAATTAATCAACAAAGAAACTTACCCCAACATTGCGATATTTCCTAAACTTTCAATTGCGGTTTTGAACTACGTTTGACACCCACATCTTCATTGCTCTATCACAACTACATCTGGGTAACTCAAGAAACAAAAATGAATTAACACTGCTTCCAAGAGAACTTCTTCCAACCATGCTTCCAATTGAGGGGACGAAGAAGAACGACGCAGAATTTCGAAGCAGAGGATTGAGACGAAAGGGAAGGAAAAACGAAGATAGAAGATAGAAGGTGAAGAATGGAACTAAAGGGAATGACGGTGAAGAATAAAAACTCTAGATTTATCATATACACAGTCACCCAATTCCAAGTGTCACGTAGCAAATTATCATATACACAGTCAACAAACTAAGTAAAAGGGTGTGGTGAAAATGTTTTATTTGATTTATAAGGGGCGGATCATAAAAAAATTACTTCAGGGAGACAAAACCAAATCTCGCCCAAATGACAAGGGACATATAATTAACTATAAATAATATAATGAACATTCAAAGTGCATTAATATGTTTCTTATATTTAATCATTATTAATCATATATTTTTCTTATATTTAATTATTATAAATCATATATCACTACAAAATTCATTTTTTAAACTAAATTTTAGAATTTTTTAACAAATTCATAATTCTTTTGACTTAGAAATGAGTCCAGGGTAGTTGCAGTGGATCTATATAGTTTCACTGATATAAACCAAAAGCGGTGACCATCGTGCAACTTTAGAAAATATAAGATTGGTGCTCATCCATGACAAAGTATTTTAGTGGCTCATCCAGAATTTGAAAAAAGTTATCCATTGTAAGTTACGGTTCCAGTCACCTCCCAGTGAATTTCAAATATGTTTTTAAATAATTGTATCAAGTAAAATAATTAACAATGACCAAAGTGAATTTCAAATATGTTTTTAAATAATTGTATCAAGTATAATAATTAACAATGACCAAAACTGAGCAACAATACTATTTAAAATAAATTAAAATTCATTAATTATAAGTTTTATAATATCATCCGGTAAAACTACTCTCTTGAAGGTATTATAAACCGTAAAAAATAGTAATTTAGTGAAGGTATTATAAACGTGTAGGAAATGTACCATTCTCTTGAACCATCAGCTTGACGATACCGATATACCAACATTTTCAACACCTGAAAAAAAAACCAAAAACCAAAAACAAAACTTCATTTGGCAAAGGATATCTACCCTAATGAAATTCAAAAGAATAAGGTAGTTTTGACACAAATTCTGAGACCAACCACAAATCTGAAACAGAAAAATTTTAAAAATGATTGGTTTGCAACTTCCGTCAACACTTTGCAGACAATCTGTTTAAACCCGTAGATGTCACTAGGGGTGTGCATGGTTACCATATTTTAAGAACCAATCCATTTTAATGGTTGTAGTTTTAAAACTAAACCATTTTTTATAATAACCAATTTAAAATTGTAAAATAGTTTCAATTCGGTTCAAAATCGGTTTAAATCGGTTTTCAATCAAAATTGATTTATAAGAAAATTGTATCTTTCTTAATTTGAAGAGACGAAAAAAATTCAGGTTAATGAAGGGAACATGATGCAAAAGCATGTGTCATTTTTATACTATTATATTCAAACACAGCACAAATCGTTTTTCACAATTTTTTTGAAAAGCAAAAAACTAAAATTCAATTTAAGAGTAAAAACATTACACTTTAATCTATGATAAAGTTGCACCAGAACACTAAAATTAAAATCCAAAAAAACTAAAACAAAACATCCTAAAACCAAGACAAAATCTGCTTCAAAACAATTGCTACACTATAACAGTTAAACAAAAAAACACAGATTAACAATCGTTCATCACAATTAACTTAATAAGTTCTTCTTCTCTTAACTAATCACCACTCTAATTAACTAATTAATAATAAATAAAATAAAATATATAAACTAGTTTTCCATTTTCAATTTGAATATTATATAAATTGGTTTACACGAATTTGAATTTCTTGTGCCTTAATAATATCTTATTCATTAATAATAATATCATATACATTTGGTTTTATGTATGACAACTAGTTATCAAAAATGAAAACCAGATTTTTGTTTTGATATCTGATCCGACCTGATCAGAAATGGACCGTCACGGCTGGCTCAGAGCAGAAGGCCTTTTTTGAACGAGGTGGGGGGGTACCTGCAAGGCACTCCGATGCTGAAGTAAGTAGGAGTACGAGCAGATAATAGCAAGTGTAAGGTTAGAATGATGAATACCTGACCCTCTGGAAGCAGAGGGTATTTATAGCCCCCAGCGCTGGGCCAAGGTTCCTTCATTGGGCCGGGCAGGTTTGGCCCAATGGAGGAACTGCCAGGTTCTACGTGCGTAGTGGGGACCCGCACGTGGTCTCCTTCCTGGATGTTCTGCGTGAAGTGCGGGCGGACGGAGACGCGATCTTTCCGGAGTATCGTTGGGGAACAGTGGACTGAGTCTGCCCTAGCTGGGGTGCTCGAGGTAACGTCGAGCTGGGCCTCAGAATGTGGTGCTGGACCACCCCGTGTCGAGCTGGAGGTGTATCGTCGAGCCAGTGACTACGCGTCGGGCACGGTCTCACTCTTTGGTCGGCGTGGCCCTTGTAAGTCCATTTGGACTGGGCCTTTGCAATGCTTTTGGGCCTGTCGGGCCCAGTCCAGAACAGGAGCCCCCCAAGTCGTGGTTCCTTTGTGAGGAGCCATGACTTGAACTCAGGTCGCTTCCTCATCGAGGTCTCGTGCCCGGGACAGAGGTGTGGGGCCTTGAGGGCCTCCTCGTGTCGTGCTTGGGGACATCTTCCGTGGTGGATGCCCGGAGGATCCTTACCGGACGCATCTGTCGAGCATGCTAGGTATCTTTCGGGAACTGTGCCGCCACCCTATGGGGATAGGGTCATCATTGCGTTGGGAGCAGCACATCGAGGATAGGGTGTCCGTGGTTGCCCGAGGTGACGTTTGGTATTCCACGTCATCACTATAAATAGGAACCTTGGGCCCCATAACACGTTTCTATTCTCTGCGCTCTCTCTGCTGCTGCTCTTCCAGATTTTTTCCAGTTGCGACTTTCTGTCACAGATTCTTCTACTCCGTAGTCAACTCCTACTCTTTGATTCAAGTAAGTGGTCTATCTTCTTCATTTTCTTGTTGGAATGCATGATTTTTGGCGTTTGTAGATGTTTTAGGGCCGTGCGCGTGGGATTAGCCCGGTAAACTCATACTTAGCCCGACACATTCATGCCTAGGCCGGCAAACGCATGTTTGTGGTCGGCGTATTCATAGTTTTAGGTGATGAACTCCAGCGCTGCCCGGGGTCTTCATGATCCAGGGCGCCTGATGCATGATCGCGCCCGGTATGTTCATGGTCTTGGCCGTGGGCCTCATGGTGTGGCCCACCATGTTCATACCTTGGGTCGACATGTTGGAGAGTGACCGCGTAGTTCGTTTTGAGGAAGAACACACCGAGTTTCAGGATGTCGGGGAGGCAACTATTCGTGGAAACGGACTATGTGGTCGTGAATGGGACGACGTGATTTGTCGAGCGTATGGCTTCGTGCTCAATTGACTGGTTTTCCGTGCTCTGCAGGTAACCATGGCGGACGAGCCGAGCTCCTCCGGGCGTCACGATCGTGAAGAACAAAGCGCCGACGAATCGGTCAATCTGATTGATACTGTGACCGACCCTTTGCTGGATTGGGTGGGCGTCGAACCCCGAGGGATCGCGTCGGTCTACATTCGGGGCGACCGGGATCCGTATGCTGTCATTGAAGCGGGCCAGGGTCAGCCCGACTTCCAAAAGAACTTCGTAGTCATGCGCCCGTCATCCCGTGCAAGGATCTGCTCGGTTTATCCGGAATATAGCTTCGCGATGTATGAGATCGCGTTCAAAGATCTAGGGCTGCGGCTGCCCTTCACTGATTTCCAGGTCGGGGTCTTCACTCACCTGGAGCTGGCCCCGTCCCAGCTACATCCAAACTCGCTCGCCTTCATCCGGGCGTTTGAGTTGATGTGTCGCTACTTGAGGATCGGGGCGACCATACCGCTCTTCTTCCGGATTTTTCACCTGCAGCGCCAGTCCCGAGGAGGGAAACATAGCTGGGTCTCCCTGAAGCAGTCGAGGAGACTCTTCAAAATGTATATGGACTCCGTGAGGGGTTTTAAAGACAAGTGGTACGTGGTGCGGCCAGTTACCACCTCTGCTTTAAGTTCTCTTTTCGAGGAGGAGGAGCCGCTGAGCGACGAGGACGGGGAGGCGGTTTTGGGCGACGATGGGAACCCTGTGTTGGCC